TTGTATGCCGTTTTTAACATTTCAAGAGTTTCTGTTCCACTTTTCCTGAGCAAAAAGCAGAATTTCACCGCCGCACGCTGTTCACAAAAATCAGCCATTGCAAAAACGACGATCACACAAAACAGTTGTCACTATAAACTCTGCCGAAACTAGTCCTTACCTTCTGAAGCAACGGTAGTCGGCTTATCGACTCAGGAATGTTAGCTCTATGTGCTCATAGCGGCAAAACATGGTACTACAAAAGCTCTGCCCACAAAAAAATTAGTTCGGTTTCTTTTGGGTACCCCATCGTACTAGACTGCATACTCTTCCCTGGCCAACTCGTAACTAACTTGAATAGTCTTCGCTGCTCCTTATTTAGCCCCATTACGGACAACACAGAAAACAGTTACGTAATAGGCACCACTGTTGTCTGACGCCGTGTTTGCCGACAGCCTAACAACGCTGTTGGGAGTTGCTTACTGCTGAGTAGCAACGGTGGCATCCCGTGTTATGTCACCGCTGGGGAGGGAGGGGGTGTCTTCCATAGCGCAACACGTCACACTGCTCCCTCCATAAGGCTGTTCATCCTGAATAGCCTAACGATGCACCCCCATTCCTTTTCTTCAAAGGATGGGTTTTTGTGTCTCCTGTTATTTAGGCTACTCCTTGCAGCGACTATTCTCCTTCCGTTACAGTATTATCAGTGGGAGATCTTTTGGTCACAGTTACTCTTTTTGGGAACTGTACTGTATGAAATATATGATTGCAACAGCACTAATAGCTGTGTTTTACGAGTTAACTCTTCTAAAAAATTTACATTAAAATCACCACATAATATAAATTCAATTTTTGGTTTATAGAGCTTGGTAGACATGTACCATAATCTGATTTGGTCCAAGATTGTCCTTTGTGATGACAATGTTAAGGCTTCTGGTTCCATATGTACACCTAGAGTATATTATGTCTGGCAGTTATTTATTTTATTGTAATAATTTTTCCAAGAAATGGTACCATCTAAGTTGATTTCTTTCTTTCTTTCTTTTCTTTCTTTCTTTCTTTCTTTCTTCTCTCAGACCATACCAATTTGAAAGGGTTTCAATTAAACACTAGTTTTAAGCTGTATTTTTGATACATCCTGGATTGATAGATGTGGCTAAAATATGTAGAGCCAGTTGTGATGAGTGTTTGTTTAAGTGACAGACATTTTTACAGCAGTGACTGTCAGAATCAAAGTCAGACCTGAGTGTGACCAGGACACATGTCTTGTGATTGTAGTTGTAGATGGCATATTGGAATTCAGCTTCGAACTAGGCTCAGGCCCAGCTCAGATCCAGACTCGAGCAGATACAAGGGTGGATGATGGCAAGCGTCACCATGTGATACTAAGAAGACAAGCCAGCGATGGCAGCATCGAACTAGATAGTATCACAGAGTTTGGAGAGAGTCAGGGCATTCTGAAGATGCTTAACACTCGAGGCAATATCTATATTGGTAAGTTTTGGTTCCCACAAGTCTGTCAAACCTTATACATAATCTGACAACACAGTGCTTACATGTAGGTTCAGAAAAGCTGCGTACTTGAGTGAAACACAGACTCATCGTGAAGCAGTCATTTGATTATAAGTCCATGATTTATTTCAACCGTCTTCCAGTGCATACATTCATCTATCTCCTCCTCTCACTCGCACTACACGTTTCGGCACAAAAGTGCCATCTTCAGGTGCTTATTCGATTTACGCTAAACTAGTTCATTGCATGCCTTGCAAGTTGAAGTTAGAGCAGTGATCAACATCATGCCATCACATGTCAGAACTGGCCTGTACAATTTTTTCTTATGTGAATTTTCTATTTTATGTGAGTCTTCTGCTTACTTCTGCTTATCATTCTCTGTTTCATTCTATACTATCTTATGGAATTATATTTTGGGGGCAAGCAACTAATACCAAGAAACTCTTTNCAGTGAGACAAAGTGTTACATGAGGTATTACTATCTGTTGGCAGTCAAATTAGTTCCATTCTCCCATTGTGTAAACTGTTTCTGAGAATGTATATTTACCAACATGGGTCTGTTGTTACAAGTTTCTGCCTGACAAATTGTTGCACACACATGAAGACACTAACATGTTACCTCTATATCTGCATATTTAAATTATGTGAGAGCAGCTGATGCCATCAATTTCAAGAAGTCAGAAGATGATAACATCACTGACAAAGTACTATAAATGCTGCTAGGGCAACAGAATTGCTGTGAATGCAATTTCAAATATTTGTTTTAAAAATAAGCACGATATCTACACAGTGCCACATCCCAGAAGACTGCATTCTTCATAGTCACCGCTGTGAAAACTTCAGATCATACATATTTCATTTTAGTTTCACATTCGTAGAATATAGTATGGCTTATGTGTGAGATTTTATTTATTCCAAATTATTGACCTAAAGATGTAGTTGTGACTTGTACACTTGCCAATATGGTAATACTGCTCATAGTCATCACCACAATGACTTGATCAGTAATTGCAGCCATGTTCACCATAACATGCTTCCAGTAGGTTGCCAGCTGCTCTGCTAGTCACTACTCATCAGCAACATATTCTGTGCCATTATATAATGTTCCATGGCCGATGGAAGCACCAGCATGTGTCCTGTCTTTTTCACCAAGGCACCTTGCTTTGTATGGAATTTGTGTATATCAGTTGAATACACAGTACTTTTCCATAGTTCATGCCATTTGTCCTATCTTGGGTGCAGCTTCACATATTTGCCGTTCACCAATGTTTACTCACAGTTGATAGTACAATTGTTATTGTATTATATCTTATATACACATGGTAGGTTATGTAGTTGCAGTAATGTGTAGGGGTTTCATCTGCTCGATTTATTGTTGTGGATTTATATACATTGTTCTGTTGACTATTTGCTGATTTAGCAAGCTTGTGGTGTGACAGGTTCTGTATCCAATGGCTTTGGCCTTGTGTCAATGTGCTGGAACATGTAATAAATACAATACAATATCCACAATTATTGTATCACATTATAGCCATATCCTGCCAGCACACATTTGCTGCTGTGTTGCCAATTCTCTCTGTTGACAGTATCATTACTTTTTGAACAGCTCTCATACTTCGTGAACATATATCCATTTTTATAATAAAAATTCCAAAGTGTGGTGACTGGTTTCAGGTGAGACAGATGTGGTCTTTTGCTGAAATATGACCAAGAAGAGATGGATAACTTGCCAGAGTTTGAAGTTCATCATCATATTTCTCTAAAATTAATGTACATTTCAATGTAATGCCTGATCTTTGGAAATTCCAAACCAGTGACACATTCATTGCTTCTGTGTTCATTACAGGAGGATTGCCAGACTTTGATCGCATGACAGGTGGAAAATATTTGCGCGGCTTTGTGGGCTGTATCCACTCTCTACTTATTCAAGAATCAAGTGGTCCAGGACTGAATTTCAGAGAGGAAGCTCTCTACAGTGTAAATGCTTTACCTTGCACTAAGTAAGTTATTATGCAGTATTGATAGTGTAATTGTATTCTGTGAGCTCTCATTGAGAGTAAGCAGTGCCTCTAGTCATATCGCTTTATTTCATTACATCCATCTTGTTGAAAAATCAACAAATACAGATGTATATGTACCTGGTTTGTACAGTTTGTGATAAACTGTGTACTTTCTTTAGTTAGTTTAGTTTGCTGTCAGTAATTAATAGCAGTGAACAGTAGGATTACTGATGAATGATGAATTGAAAAGGATTTGGTACTTTCCCTGGCATTTGCCTGTAGGGGATGAAAACTGCAGCTAGTATCCCAGCATGGATTCAAACTGGGCACCTACTGAGCTTTGCCACTGGACCAGTGTGCTTGATGTCTGTACATTTGTATTTATATGCTGGACATTTATGAAGCCCAAGATAAAACATACCTTTCTACATGTCGCTTTCTGCTGAAATATGTGGAATACATAAGAAACAAGAAAATTAGTGCATTCAAGTATTGGTCAGGGAAGTAGAGTTGCTCTCTGCAAAGTTTGAGATGATATTAAAAATTTTGGAAAGAAGAAGCTATAAATTTTGTTTTAGAGTTGGCAGAGTTCATCTTTCCACTCCTTCTAGTCTCCATTACTTGTGCTGATTTTGATACTCCGTGGTCCATAAATTTGTTGTCATGATTTTCTGGAAGCTATTTTTATATTCTTTGTAGGCAAAGATGTGACACAGTATTTAGAAGGAAACGTAAATTGATTGTTTCTAGCTCAAAGTAGTTAAAGAAGTACGGTGTTTAGTATGCTTTTATTCAAATGATATTTGGATTGAGAATTTAATTACAGCACATTATGTCTGTATAGAAACTGATGTTTTCCTAAACAATAATTGATTTGAGAACTAGCTTCCATAACATGTTGAGAAATACTGACACCTTGTTATTGTGATGTCAGATAATTTTAACCTTTAACATTCGAAGTGCCCTGATTGGGCCAGTGATGAGTATGGTCGTGATGGCCAAAGTACCCTGTCTTGGCCAGTTGGGCATTTAAACTCTGCTAGTGGAAGCGCGTGCACATACGGCTAGTAGAAGTGCATACACAGTCCTAAATATTGTGATGTATATGCACTTTGCAGGGCACCCCCCTCCAGCAGTAATGTAACAGCATTGGAGCAATTGCTGCT